CCTGTTGGACAGTATGTTGTGCTGCTTTCGGTTAAAAAAAAATTATGTAACACGAGGGAAGCAGCAACAATCAAAGTGATTAAAAAAAATTATTATAAATATCGTAAATAACAGTTTACAAATGCATATATACAGATATTTTTTGAAGGGGGACAATGGTCTTTACAATTTGAAATCGATCGAACACACTGTGCGCGAATGCTCGTGTAAACGCGCGCCATCTATCGTAGGATAAATGTACTTCGCGGGAGTGTATTCAAAAATTAAAAAACTTTTCAAAGCTTCATGGCAATCGTACTATGCCACAAACCTTCGCTGGAGTATATTAAACAACTTCCCAAAGTTTCGTGGCAATTGGATAAACGGTGTGGTAATGCATAAAGGACACACAGACATACATTCATTTTTATATATATAGATATAAGATATATTCATATATATATAAATATATATTTTAAAAAAACAAATGAAATAACTAACCTTCAAATATCAATTGAAATCATCAATTTTTATTTAATAAAACTTGTTTAAAAAATTGTAAGATATCTTTGAGTATAGAAATGATCTACGGATAGAAATAATAAGTATTTATTTTGAGAATCAATTAGAAAATATACTTAATATGCATATTAATTAATTAAGAAGACAGCAGCCCAAGTGTTGCCCTAGTGGGTGAATTTTGAAGTGTGGTTCCAAAAATCAAAATTGCATACTCTGAACAGTATGTATACCAAATTTGGTTGATATTTGCCCAATAGCTTTTTCTTCATAGAACTCTGAACGTCTACTCTTTAAACATTGTACTAAATTAGTATTTAAGGGTATATTCTCTCATTGGTAGTGTAGACAGAAAGTACAATATTCAATGGTAAGAAGCAATGTCTCATATATAATGTATCATCAATGTTGTACTTAAAATAGATTGCAAGTATTACTGTATTTTCATTTCTTAGTAGAATTTGTTCTTAAACTTGAAATCAGTTATGTGTTTCAGACCTAATGAGTAAGTCTGGCAGAGGTGGGATTCTTATTATTGCATAAAATATGACACATTATAGGATTACGCTTATATACTGTCACTGAGTTGTTAGTTTTATACAATTATTTAAAAATAGAGGGCAAAGTTATTGTCAATGTTCCCTCTAAGCTGCGCAGCCGCGCACTGCTCAAATTGCTGCCACGCACAAGAATTTATGCTCCACGCAGGTGAGCATGCACACCGATTTGAATTGTTTACTTATTTCTCACTCTGTCTGCAACATGATTACTGCTACATATATTTTGATTAAATACATTAAATTATTGACAAAAGATAATATTTTGTATAAAAGTATGTTTTAAAATAAATTTTAATCTCTACTTTATAATTAATTAATTTTATAGGAAAAAATAAGATTATATATATGTATAATAATCTTATTTTTACATATATATAATATATAATATATATACATATATATGCTCAGAAAAATTTTTTTTGCTCAGAGATGTATATGTTCTGCTTATCTACAAAAAAAAAATTAGAGGGAACATTGATTATTGTATATATATAATAATTAATTTCAAGTTTAGAAACAAGTTCCAGTTATAGTCTTATACATTTTTATAAAACTCTGTAACTTAAATAATTTGAATAATTCTCATCAATCATAAAAAAGAGTTAGTGATTGCTTCATCTGTGAAAATCAGGTCATGTCGTTGATGTCATCATTACTTACTTTTGACATCATTAATTTACTAAATGACACACTCATATCTGAGTTAGTTTTTCTTTAGTTAAAAATATTTTTAGAATCTTTTTGAATTCCAAAAATATGTTTGAGATATCTGAATAATGACTTTTCACTTGTAAGACCTAGAGCAGGGGTGTCCAGCCCACAGGCCGCAAGGCCCAAAGGCAAGTTCCAATGTGGTCCAATAAACATGTAAACAAAACCAACAAATTTTTTTATTATTTATTTATTTCAATGGCATAAACCTCAAAAAAAGAAGTTTCACAAAGCCGTAAACCTTTATACATATTTTATTTTTTAATAGAAAGGAAATATTTTAAAATACTTGAAATGTGTGAATGAGGAAGGAATACTAAATAAAGTTGGGAAAGAAGAGAAAGGGAAAAAGATAAAAAGAAGTGAGAAAGGTTGGAAAATTAAGGATTAATACTTGCATAACAGAAGGTATATTTAACGTTTCTCTCCTTTCCCCAAATTTGGGAATACCAACTCTAACTTTATTTAATATTCCTTCAGCATTGCAAGATTTGGCTACTTTGCATCAAATTTGGCTACCCTTTTTTTAGTTTGGCATAAAAAATATAATTTGGCACATCAACTACATTTTGGGCTACATATTATTTATAAATATATAAGTTGAATAAAAATGCACTTTAAAATGGTGTTTTGTTGTTTTTTTATTAATTAATGACCCAAATAAAACAAATATTTGTGTTTTTCAAATAAATTTTTGTTTGTCTCCTTTATAATAAATAAATTTATCTATTTCTAAGTACAAATTAAAAGTGTCTGTAGAAGTAATTTTTTAAAATATCCTTTTTTGTGATAAAGTTTTAATACTTGTTACTATAATCTAGATAGGTAAATCTTTAAATATACAAGTATATTTAAGGATTGGGCCACAAAATACTTGTGGCCCAGAACTCCATGACTTCTTCCAACGTGGCCCAGAGAAACAAAGGTTGGACACCCCTGACCTAGAGTAAATGTCCAAATTGATAAATTATTTATTTAAGTTTTATTATGTTATAATTTTATCAATGCATGAGCAGTTAATATATTAAACATAGCCAAACCAGTTTCTGAATATGATGATTTTTCTTTACAAAAACAAAATACTTAAATTTATTAAATTCTCTCATTTTTCATAAATTAAACATAAATTAGATTGTTACATGATAGGCAGAATAATTTCTATTTTTATTTTGGATTTATTGATGGAATACGATACAATCAAATGGAATACAGCATCACTGTATTCCATTTGATTAGAATCAATTAAAACAAACTACATTTCATTTTCAGTTTTAAAGTTTTATCAGAAATACTTTATTAAAACTTTGCTCATTATTACAACAACGATCAATATCTGGAGTAATGATAAGGGATTAAACTAAGTAAATACATGAGTGCATTAATTGATAAGCTATCACAAGAAATGTTTGCAGAAACTGTAGCTACTAAATAAGGTCAATAAGTATGCTATGCATTTATTTAAATTTAAAATGTTATTAAAATTTGTGTATTTATTTATTTTATATCTACAAAAATCAAAATTATCTGACTTGTTTTTTTCCTTTCCAGAAAGCGATTCAAGAACAGAAGATTGAATTGTGGGAAATAGAACAAGACATATTAGGAACTGAAAAAGAAAAAAAGGCAAAATCAGAAAGAGGTGACAAGAATTCATGATTAAAACCTTTATGTAATTAAAAATGGACCATAACAACAAATTTTATCAGACTACTTAAATTGCCTTTCATTTATTCAAAAGAAGAATGTGATAATTAAATCAATTATGTTAAGCATTTTTAAAATTTCAGTTTATTTATTTATATCTAACATAAGTACTTAATTAATTCATTTTAATTAAATGAATCTTTACAACTCAGTATAAAATATCATCATATAAAAACACTTTATTTTATTAACTTTTTTTTTGTGAAATTCTTTTATCTTTTGTTAAATTTTGATGCTCAGTTATACTGTGTTACTGGGAACAATCAATAAATTTTCTCTTGAAATTTGATAAAACTAAAGTTTGAAGTTATTAAAATAAAATTTAAAATATATCAGATAAATTTTTTTCTTATAGCATAATTCTTTTAAAAATTTTTGTATTATANTATATATATCAAATAAATTTTTTTTATTTTGATCAAAACAATAGTATGAAGAATTAACAAATTAAAACATTATCTGAATAACATTTATTAAAATTTTAATTGGATGATTTGTTTATCTACAATATTCAGGTATAGAGTAACAAATTAACTGTATATATGACAAATTAATTAATATTTAATTCCTGTTGGCCTGGTACAGAAATTCAAATTAAATATTTTATTAGAATTATGTGACTAGTAAACCATTATAATTAATTATATTGGCAAAGAATTTTTTATTTTATTATAACAATACCTGTTGTTTTGCATGCATTTGGAATATTTGAGTGAACAGAAACATTACAGATTTGATAATATTTAATTAGATTTTATTATAATATAATTCTTCAACTTGTATTATTAACAATTTCAATAGATGACTGTTAAGTTTTATAGTGTTTTTACTTATTATTTGCATAATAATAGTTTTTCTGAATATTATATAGTAATATAATAATGATGATAAAACTTTATTAGAAAAGAGAATACAAGTCCCATTTCAAAGGGAAAGATAGATAAACAAATTAAAAACAATTAGGCACAAGTGATGCAATACTTTGCAACATCATAAGATACTAACAATATCATCATAGTTTCAAGCAGGAAACAAAAATTGTTCAGTCAAACATATACTTGATTTAAATAGTCTGTTTTTATTTAAATATTGATATTTGCTATTTTATTTAACAAAATAAATTTGACAGTTTTTTTCTCATTTATCAGATTTTCATACATTACAGATCTGTATTACTTTATAAGTAACAAATCTTAACATTTATAAAATATGTCAGAAATGGTAAGACATCAAAGCCACACTTTCAAATTAACCATAGCAATGCCTGTCAGAATTTAAATATTTAAAATTGAGGAAGAGAGATGGTAGTACATTAAAAAATTTAAAATATCTAGTCTAATCAATATCTAAATGTATCATATAGAAAAACTTTCATTTTCTCTACAAAAATTTATTTTTTCCAAAGATAATTTTATTTCTGAAAGTTATTCTGTAAATATTTTAAGATTATATGTATATAGCAATAATTTTTGTCTAATGTACTAAATATACCACTTTTATGTGGCAATAAATCAACTCTCTTTATAAAAATTAAAAATTTAATATGAAAAGTTTTAAAAACTGATAACCAAATATATAAATATTTAGGAAACTATTTTAATATTAAAGTTTTAGAATTTTGCAAAACAAAAATATTGACGATGAAAGTTTTTTTTTTTTAAAAAAAAAAAGAGGAGGAGGGAGGGGAAAAATCTAATAAAATTTTGACGTGTAACGACTTAGTAAGTTCTACTTATTTGCAATATTTTTTTTTTCTTTCTTATCTTCCATATTTATTCAATTTTTGGCAACAAAACGAAACTCGTAAAATTAATTAACTTATCATCGGGGAACCATTTTGTAAACTTAATTCAATTTAACACGTATTATAAATTTACTTTTTCAATGGTTAACACGAGCCTTGGGAGAAAAGTTGATACTAAAGCAAAAAGTTATGAAAACCATTTTGTGATATGAAACTTCCGTAAGCGAAGAGTGGGGAAGGAAACAGGCAGATGGAGGTAGCGCTGCTAAATGGACTGCTAACTTATGGATAGAGATAGGAGTTGTATGTCGTGACCATCTCACACCATCTCGTCAATGCTAGCGGCAGATGTTCTATGTTTACCGTCATTTTTCTGTTTTACTAAGGTGAGTTATTTTATATCATAAAATATATAAAAGTTTAAAAAATGATTTATTCTAAGAATTATGTAAATAATTGATCTATCTGAAATTATTTATTTGCGCAAGTTTTACAAATGTTTAACTATTAAAATTGATTTTAATGTATAAACAAACATGAAGTTAAAGATTAAATATTTAGTTTCTATATAAATTAAAATTACAAGATGATCAATATTTAATTAAAGAAGCTTGATTAATTTTCAACGATAATTAAGACAGCACTATTAACTTTAAAGACAATACTTTTAAATGAGAGCCTTTATTGTATTATAATACAGTTTACATAAATTTACGTAATGTATATTATTATTATTATTTTTTTAATATTTAAAGATAGCTCTAATTTCATCTTGGTTCCAAACTGACATATATAAGATGGTATCGATCGATTCAAAGGAATTTCTATCGCTCCATAGCTAAAAGCCTTAATAAGTTCAGCTGGTAGATATTTAATATCTGGCATGACATACTCCCCTCTACTCACTAATTGTATTTGCACATCTGCTGCTTTTGGTGCAAAATTTTGACACTTTTAAATATTTCGGAACTTTTAAGGTCAACACACACAAAATAAAATTTCAACTAATACTATATTTATTAACTCCCCTACCCTCTATTGTTTAGGGTGTTCTACTTTATACCCGTCAGGTTTGCTTCAACAGGTGACACGTTCCAAGTCACGAGTTAATATTTGAATTTCCTTCACAGTATATCATTTAATCCTATTATATCGAGCTTATCAAGTTTATATTCAAAGAATAAACTTGCATTTTTTTTAGCATTATCGACATGTTTCGTCCTCCCGTGAACAGTATATTTCTATTCACTTTTTACGTAGAAAACTCAATTTATTAATCATATATACGTATATAAACATTTTAAGAGTAATTTTAGATAAAGATAATAACTGTATAACGCGTAATTACTCTAAAAACATGAGCTATATTTTTTTTATTCCCCCCTTTTCGTTATACAAATAGACAATTCAAATATTTGAAAAACGACATCTGAAACTCTTCAGCAGCGAATTTTATAGTTTATAAAAGATGACACATCATTTCTTTCTTGGAAAAAAATCATTTAAATCCATAAAATTCGACTTAAATATATTCTAAGTCGAATGCCTAGTAAAGTGTCATGTGACAATAAGAAAGAGAGAAAAAATACATGTAAAAGCTCTAAAAATATCTACATATGTTATATTTTTTAAATTTACAAAAGCTGCTATCATCCTATAAAACTTTTATATGGAAAAAGAAAAAAAAATTGGAAAATCCTTATAACGTTTTAAAATTTTTTTTTTTTATAAAAGTACAATTTTCATATGGAAATATCTAAAAATGTTCTTAGAGGCTTAAAAATCTTGTTTTTCTTAGTTTAACAGTTATATCGTCAATTGTTATCGAATTTATTTGTTATAAAAAGGAAATATGTTATCGGAGATGTTATTGGATATTGATATCGATTTATAAGCTCTCTCCTTTCCTCAATAAAATAAAAAAAAGAATATATTTCTTTCAACATATGTATATAGGGAGATAGGGGAGAGAGAAAAATTGTATGTGTGTGTATATATTATATATATTTTTTGAAATTTAATCATTTTTCTGTGGTAAATTTTCGTATTATACAAGGTTTTTATTTATTTTTAATTTATAATTTATGTTGAATAAATATTGCTATTTATTTTCTTAATTAAGAAAAGAAAAATATTTTTAATTAATAATATATAAAATAATAAAATTCGAATTGATATCTGCAAAAACTAAAAATTGCTGAAAGTGTTACACGTTCAGACGAATGATTTTTCAGTACGATACTGAAGGTTTTAAATTGAATAAATATTTTAAATTATATTAAAAACATTTTTAATTTATTTATATGTCTTTATATTAATTACATTTATAAATCTTGTTTAAGATGAATGGCGGGTGGAGCTTTATAATTTTTTCAGTAAATAAAAGACTGTTTTCTTTGTTGTTTTTATAAAAATATGTTTTTGAAAATTCTAAAAAAAATAAATTATTCTTAAAAAATGTGATAAACATGTTTAAATTTTAATTTTTTAATATTCTTGTTGTGTAAAGTATTCAAAATTTATAATAAAATTTGAAGTTTTAAAGAATTTTTGAATATATTTGTACATACTTCGTTGTTTAAGTTCATTTATAATTTTTTTATGAAAAGAAAAAATATTTAGAAATTTCATAAAGCTGTAGATTTATCGTTGATCATATTATTTCATATTCAGAAGAAATTTCCAGCAAAGTTAATATGTGTAATTCCTAAACGACATTTCAGTAAACAAAAGCACATAAATGTGTATAATATCATAACAAATAATTAAATATCTTTTATTAATAAAGTATTTCAAAATGTTAAATAACTCATTGTTCCTCAATTTGGAAAGAAATATTTATTTTTAAGTTCTTGAAATTTTAACTATTCAAATACATTTACATGTGTGATTTACTACATTCTTCAGAATATTTATCAACTTCTATACCTTACGGAGTAGACAAAAACATTGCACCAACTGACTCTGCAATATTTGACAGTTTAGGTTAGGAATCCTCAAACTGTCTGCCGACTCGTTCAAAGATTCCTCGATTTTTTATCGACTTCCCTCATTTTATTTTATCTTATACAGTTTATAATAATAAAAAATAAGTAAATCTGAGCTGCTATTAATTCACCCACCATTTTCGTAGAAAAGATCTATTTGGTGTTTAAATTTACATGATTCTGAACTGTCACATACATAATGGACTAATAATTTTTAATGAACCGCTTTCAATCGATCCCAGACTAATTTTCTGCCTCCTCCACTTTGGGAATACCTGGTATAGATAATCGATAGTGATTTTTTTGAAATCATAGTCTCCGTGCATTCCGATCCCTTTCTCGTGAGGCTAAATCTTACCTCGACTCCTATGAAAGATAACATAAGTTTAAATTTTAAAGTCGCAGAGCAACAAAAATTGGTGGGAGGAAACAGTTTAAATTAAAAAGTCGCTCTACGACTTTTTAATTTAAACTGTGCCGCATCTTTTATAAGAGCAGAGAGAAGACTTGGCCCCGTGAGAAAAGAGGTCAGGAGTGTAGGAAACTACACCATCGAGTAACCCACTACCGATTACTTATACTTTCGAGTACTTATATTCAGCTAATACGTAGCAGAAGCCAAATAAAGCTTGGTGCAATGTTTTGTCAACACAGTATAGTGCTGAAAAAATTACATTGTTGAAGCCATCCAATTACTTCTTTGACTAAACCTGATGATATGACACAAGAACAATGAAAATGATCAAAATTAATCACTTGTTCTTATTGACTGAACTTGGTTATATCTTAATATTAAATGTGCTATTTTTAAATTAAACAATATAACAGTCTTAAAGTTGAAGAAATTGATCATCAGCTTCTCATCCATCTTTAGCAACATCTCAGTTAATGTAAAGTAAAATTAATTGTATTTAAAAAAAACAAAAAGGTAGTTAATATCGCATAATGAGTTCTTTATAAAATTATCCCTAAGCATTGAGTGATCAGAATGTTAAAACAGAATTCAAATTTCTTGATTAGCAAAACTAAAAACTCTTCTCTATGAACTAACATTCTTCCAGTTAAAAACATTTCTATAATGATGCAAAAGTGATGAACGCATTGCTGTTGAGAGAAAATCTATTGGGATTTAGTGTTAGGATTCACTATGGGCCTGGTGTTGCTCATAGTTGCTCCTAATACTATAAGTATTGAAGATTTGTTTTGTTAGTAAAACTAAAACTGCCATTTATTAATAAAAAAAAACATTTTCAATGCATTTTATTTGTTCAAAAAAGGGTCCCCTTTGCCCTTTTTAAACCATAGGCTCCATACTGAGTTTTTGACGACTACTTACGCTAAGTACAACAGTACTACCATTTATATCATTAGTGTTTTCAATTTTTCCTTGTGATGGCAAATTTTTTAGATGAATATGATCATACACCATCTATTTATTTACTGGAAGACAAATAAATACGCAGAACTGGTAAAAATATTAAACTGTGCAATATGCCAAAAGCAATTATCCTAAGATACATTCTAAAATAATGCCAAGCCAACCCTCTTTTGTTAATGTAATATCAGATAAAATAAACTTCCCATTTGTTTCAAAGCATCTTTAGATCGTTTTGAACAAAAGGTTTCGGACTAATGACAAAACATATTAAACGAAAACAGAAATACCGACAAAATCGACCAAAGATACTTTTAATGAAATATTCTATCAATACATTAATCCCATTTAAATTAATTACGATTATTACAATGGTTATAACAGTTATTAATGCTGAAAGTAAATTCAAACCCAAAATTTAGAAAGCAGCAATAAAAATCGCAGCTAATGAATATTGCAAACTTTTCAACGTATCGGCCACATTGTGTAATTAATATAAAAGAAAGTTAATGCTGTAAAGAAATACTTTAGCACTCGAAGTACATTTCTTAATCCCAGTTTGAGGTTGAGTTTAAAGTTATTAAAAAGTAATTAATCGAGGCGTTTTCCTTGTTTTACGGATATAAGATAAGATTAAATGACTCAAATGCCATTAGAGTTGGAGTGCAGCTGTACTGCAGTGTGTCTAGCTTATAATTAAAGTACAGTATATCACTTCAGATCATTCTGGAGACAAAACCGTCAGACACAAACAAAATATTTTAGGCACGGGGTTTATGTTAATAACCATGTCCAATAATTTTCCCCGTGTCGAAACACGGGGAAATTTATGGACATGATTTCAAAAATAATCACAATTTTCGTCGATGGCGGTTTATAACGGCGTCACTATCATATTGCGATCGAGTTATCACATCAGCAACATCCGAGTGAAACATGTCAGAATTAATGACTCGTTTCCCTTTTAATTCGCCTCTTTAATTCTGATAAATATGCAACTCCGCCTATATAAACTCTGCTTTTC